GGCACTCAATTTCGAAGAGACTTTTCAAATGTTAGCTCTTTTCTTTTCTTTTTTTTGGTCAGTCATGGGGCCTGAACTCTGGGCCTGGGCACTGTCCCTGAGCTCTTCAGCTCAAGGTTAGCACTCTACCACTTGAGCCACAGCACCACTTCTGGCTTTTTCTGCTTATGTGGTGCTGAGGAATCGAACCCAGGGCCTCATGCATGCAAAGCAAGCACTCTACCACTGAGCCACCTTCCCATCCCCATGTTAGCTCTTTTCTGTTAGCCTTTCTGACTTACTTCCTTCCCAAAAGTTTGGTACTCCCTCTTCCTTCAATTTTTTTTAAACATTTGTCTCTTGTAGCCATGATAGTATGGTTAAATGGAATTACATATTATTATGTGATACTATATAATAACACTATTATATTTTATACATATATTACCTGTTTATATATTATTAATAATATATATTAGTTTGTATACTTTTACATATTATTTTTGCCTTTTTTCCATCTACAGTAACATATAGTAAAGGAATATTCACAGTAGCTTATTTTTAATTTATTTTATTTAATTATTTATAGAAATGATGAATAAATGTTTGACCAGCTGCCCTTACTATGGCTTGCATGCAAAAGACCTCCAGAGTTAAACTATAGGAGACAGTGACACATGATAAAAACAAAGCAAAACACCTGGTTTCAGGATGCCTAAAATGTAAAATAGGGAAAGGAATCATAGAAGCTTATATAGACACTGTGCTAGAGGATTTTCACATGCAATTGTAAATCATATTGCATTGTACAAATAAAGAGACTGTTGATTTTTACTAACTTACCAATATCACACAGTGATGGTTAATCTGGGATTAAACTTGGGTTTGCCTCATTCCAAAACTGTATTTAGTCCTTTAGTATATCAAGCTCCCATTCTAAACACCAAGTTGTTGCAAGTTGTTGTAGTGTAAAATGAATGGAGGAAAGCAGGAAAGTGAGAGTTTGACTGTGTTGATTGTAAAGCACCACAAGGTGGTGCTCTTGCCTTGATGGCATCTGTGAAAAGAAATTAAGATCTAAATCCTACCCTTTATCCAGCCCTATAGATTGAGTCAGTTTATCCATTTGCTCTGATCTCTCTCTCTCTCTCTTTCTCTCTCTCTTTCTCTCTCTCTCTCTGGGATTGACATCATGCCATCTACTCATGAGACTGTGAATATTCAACTCATTAATATGTTTTAAATATACTCAAATGCAATACTCTTAATGAATGGTAGTACAAATAATAATTATTTTATACAGACTAATCTCAAATGCTGATGAATTCTAAATGGGCCTCGGAATTATCAAAGTAACATGAATTATACTCAACGAAGTTTTAATATTAAAATGAGTCTTTGAAAACTATTAATCCATATATGATTTAAAGTAACTCTGTTACCCAGCACAGAGAAATTGAGTACAAGTAGACCATCCTTTATCGGAAAGAGTTTTCAAATTTTTGGGGTTTTGTGATATTTTTATTTAATTAATGAAATACCTTTTGGATGGAACCGTCACCTGTGAATGTCACTTACGTTTTATTTATATTTTACACAAGTAGGCTGAAAGTAATTCTCTTATAATTTCATTAATGTGACTACACCTGAGGTCACATGTGCAATTTTCATATGTGGCACCCTGCTGACAATCAAAAATTTCTGGATTTGGGGTATTTGAAATCTGACATTTTTGGATTAGGGACTTAATCTGCACTCTTTATTTAACTACTGTGCTAGGCAAGAGTTGACTAAGCCCCTTTTAGTTTGTCATAAAAGAGATCAGCACAATAACATAGATTATTAATAGCTTCAGCACTGGCTCACGCAGATGCCATATTTTATTGACTCTATGACATTTTTTCCATGTCCCTGGCATTAGTATGCAGCTAACAATAAATGACATACTAGAACAGATACAGGAAGGCATTATTTTATATTGATAAATAATCTTAAAAATGTCATTTTTCTCCCACTTAAGATTGCATTATATAAGACCTGTTATCAGTTGTCTGTTGTTCAATGAAAAATTACTCTATCAATTTTGACCATTTTTGTTAATTCAGCATTCTTTTTAGCAGCTCTTTTGTTTTCTATGGATTTGACATTGCAAGTATCTTGCTTCCTTAACCAAAACATATACATTACTTTATATAATTTGTATATAAATGTCAGTGCTGAATATTTATAATTCACAATTATAAATTAAGTTAAATGATAAAGTGATGAATGTTTTTCAGGTAAATTCTTTCCTTAGGAAAGCTGAAAAAGTTAATGTCAGACATTAAATTTGTTATAGAAAATTGGAATATACAGCAAGGCATTGGTGGCTTATGCCTTGTAATCCTTGCTACTCAGGATCACTGTTCAAAACCATCCCAGGCAGAAAGATCTGTGAAACTCTTATCTCCAATTAACTACCCAAAAGCCAGAGTAGGAAGTATGGCTTGAGTGGTAGAATACTAGGTTTGAGTGGAAAAGCCAAATGAGATCACAAGACCATGAGTTCAAGCCGTAGTACTAGCATACAAACAAAAATAGAGAATATACAGCAGACCCATTATCACATAGATAGCATGTGGAATGACAATTGTATAATAAATTAGAAATCTCATAACAAAATAGTAGACATTTACCTCCTCCCATGCTAATTGGTGAAAGTAGAAATCATAATGGAAATTATTGAAAACAGAATGATAATGAAGGAACCACATGTTAAACCACATGCCAAGAAGTCTATCATATTTTTTACTTCTAAACTCGAGGTTTTCTTTTTTCACCTAAACTCATAGTTTCACACTTGCTAGGCTAGTCCTAACTGGGTACCACTTGAGCAATGTTCCCAGCTCTGCCTTATATGTATGTCTATGGAAAGTCCAAAAAAATCTACAAATGCACAATTAGATTTAAGAAGTGATTTAAGCAAGAATATTTTATACAAAGTCACTATGGATAGCCAACTACATTTCAATATACTATTAGCAATTAGAAAATGAGTTTTTTGGATTATATCTCAGCTTCAATTACTTACCACATACTTCACTCATATGAAGTGTGCATTTTTGTATATTCACAGGGCTGTTCACCATCAACAATAGTCCATTTCAGAATATTTTCATCAATCCATGAAAAAACCCAGTAATAACTGATGAGGTGGTATGTTCCTCTAATCCCAGCTACTTGGGAGGCTAAGTAGGAGTGCTTAAATTGCCCAAGCCAATCTGGGCAACATAGCAAGACCTTTCTAAAACAACAATAATAACAACCCAAACCAGAAACCCAGCTCTACTAAGCATTCATCTCCATTTCACCCCAATCATCTTCCCAGCCCTTGGGAACTATTTAAACTACTTTTAATCAATTTACCTATTGTGGATATTTTATATAAATGGAATCATATCAAGTAGTCTATAATGACTAGCTTCTGTATTTTTTTATACTCAGTAAGTGGTAGCTACATCATAACTTTGAAGGTTTATCAATTAACCAGAATGCACTGCTCCCATACATGCTTCCCACTGAAGTACATTTATATTTACTGTCATGGAATAAGTAGGTTTATGCCAGTGGTGACTCAGTCCGAGCTCTGCCACTTTATGTAGCTTTGGATAAGTCATTATACTTACTCCCTGGAGACACTTTTCCAATTTAAAAGTTGGGAAAAAATGTCTTACCCAATCAGAAACTGAAGAATAGTTACAGTCTCTGGGAAGAAATGAATAACTATTTGACCATTACCCAACATTCATGGGATAAGAGTAGTCCTTGATATTTAGCCTTTTCTTTGTTCATTTTTCCTGTGATTAGATATTTTTCTCTTGAGTTTTCTCAACACATATTTTCAAATTCTCTGAAAATGAGCTCTCTGAGACTAATCTGTACCATATTGCTTCTCTTACCCTGGGACATTTGACCTGCCCCAAGTTCTTTAGTTTTTTTTCTCTAGACTATGTAAGACACGTAGTATTTTAAGTAGATGCATCATTTTCTTTCTCTTTAATTCCTATTATCCTAACAGAACATGATTTTACATAGGGCTGAATATAAAAAAAATTAGATTTAAAAGCTGGGCTAGGGGACTGGGAAGGTGACTCAGTGGTAGAGCGCTTGCCTTGCATGCCTGAGGCCCTGGGTTCGATTCCTCAGCACCACATAAGCAAAAAAGAAAAAAGCCGGAAGTGGTGCTGTGGCTCAAGTGGTAGAGTGCTAGCCTTGAGCTGAAGAGCTGAGGGATAGCGCCCAGGCCCAGAGTTCAGGCCCCACGACCGGACACAAAAAATAAATAAATAAATAAAAGCTGGGCTATACACTGTCACCAGACAACGTATAAATCTAGTTTCCTTCCTCTCCCTTCATTTTGGAATTGTTCATGTTTTTCTTTAGAAAACATGTACTGTTTATATCCAAGTGCCATGTGTCAAAATAAATTGTTTCCAAGACCTAATGGCAATTCAGTAGGAGGAAGCAGACAAATAAGCAAGTAACAGTATAGTATGAAATCTGCCAACTGTAGAGCACTGTACAAGTGGTTATGGGAGCATCTGGAAAAAAGGATTGGAGCGTGTTTTGAAGTAAATGTCATCTGGCATTTCTGCACTAATAAGCATAATACATAAGCAGCCAGATGAGGGACACCTGCTTTGTTTGAACCTCATAACAACCTGGAGAGATACAGGTTTCTGATTCCCATTTTAGAAAGCAATTTAAAGCTCAGGTTCAGCTTCTGTATTAGTCCCCTCCCCCCAACATCTATGACCCTCATGCAGAGTATAGAAAGTCTCCTTGCCGGATCCTCGAGTATCCTGCGAGCCGTTCTCCTTTAGTTCTTCCTCCTTAAGCCAAACTAGAATTCTCAGATTTCTCTGTTCTGTCTAGCCTGCCTCCAGTGTCCTCGGTCTATTGAGTATTCCAGGGCTGTAGCAGCAGTGAATATTGCTGATGTCATTGTTTGCCTTATTGGGATTTTGCTCTTTGTTTCACAGGGAGCTGTGATTGGTATAGACGATGAGGACGACAGCACCTTCACAATAACTGTTGATCAGAAAACCTTCCATTTCCAGGGTGAGCTGAAAGAAGAGATTCTTTCTCTTCATAGTCCCAACTGCTTCTTTCCTTCTCTTTTGGGTTATCTGCTGAATGACTTGAGTGTTTTTGCTACTGATCCTGCATGAACGAGTGTACAAGAGCATTCTGGATGAAGTGGTACTGAAGGTTAGGCAGGGATTTGTATCTGCAGTGGATACACATTTATTTGAAGCGACTGTGGATCTGGCTGCAATTGGAGATTAAATTTGAAAGGATAAAAATCAGTGAAAAGAGAGTAATGGGCTGCTGCTGCTGCTGGCTTGTGTTTACAGAAGGTTGCTCATCTTCTTTATCGAGGAGTGTAGTTTGTTTCTGCATGAAGAGGCTAAAGACTGTGAAGGTTGCAGTGTTTGTGTAAAACTCGAGATGTAAATTAAATTGAAGCTAGTGGAAATCTTTGCCTGAAAGGTTTTGTTGTGCTTCAGGAAGTACAAGTTTGCATTCATTTCATCTTCATTTTTGTGTCTTGTCTGCCAGCTATCATTTCTCTATTATCCTTTCTGTAGTTAATAACACCAATGCCATCTGCCACTGCTATGTTCCGGCATTGCATGCTATGGTTCACCGGTAGAAAGGGTAAGGTGCTATATGATGATTTTCATTTCATCTTGCTGTGAAAGCTCTAAATCAGCAAGTAAAAGCCAATTTTAATGATCTTGTACTAAGGTGCTTGTCTCTTAGGATTGCCTGGTAGTTTTGATACTAGTGATACTGTTATTTTGCATATCCAGAAAAACCTCTATTTTATATTTAAAACAGTTAAAGAAACTTAGAAATGAGAATATTTGGAGACATTATTATTATTATAGTCCAGAACACTTTCTCTGATTGCAAGTAATAATACATTGCTATAGATGCTAGGTATACTGAGATGAATACATATTAAATAAATATAGAACTTAAAAGTGTTTTCTTATGAAGCCCAGATACGCTATACAATGACTATTATGAGGGTATTCAGGCAGCTATTGTTATTCTTCTATGCTAGGACAGTATATTGCAGATATTTTTCTTCACTGTCTTATTTTAAAAATAGACACATAGACATGAAGAAGGTGCAGCTTATATACAATATAGACAAACCAGTGTACTCACTACATTTTAATACTTTCTTCTGCTTATCTTTAAAATGTTTACTATGTTTGATAATGTTTATTTAGAACTGATTAATGATGTTTTCTTGAAATTTTCCACTATATTTAACTTCCTTAAATATTTTAAATTGTGTTATAAAAACCTAGAGTCCTTATTTTTAAGTTAACTGTATAATGCTGCTTATAAACCAAGGAAGATAATTTCCCCACACTGGGACTCTTTACTTGAATATTTTAAGGCATTTCAAGTAAGAGCTGCTGGTTGCAGGTGAGGGCTGCAGTACATAATTCTCTCCTCTGCAGTCACCTCTGGACTCGCAGAATTTGTGTTGTTTTCTTGTTCGAAGAAGAGACATCTATAGAGCAAAGGCACCTATGCCTTCTTATTTATTTTTAAATTACTATGTTAAACTGATCTCTCCTTTGGCATTTCCATAGTTATGTGACTTACTTATGAAACAAGACATTTCGCTAATGAATCATATAAATGATAAGGCTAAGTAAGAGTTATATATATATATATATTTTTTAAATGAATTCTTAGTTCTGAGACTGTCAGATTGGTTATTTTCTGCTCAGTAGTTATGAGGTCTTAGGTATCACAAGATCTAGCTTTTACAAAGGACTTGATACGACTATGTTTATTTCTTATTTTTTGGCAATTATGAGTAACTTCACATTTATAGATCCTTACTCATAAGAAAAATCTGCAAATTTGATTTAAAAAAGTTCTCAATGTCTGATAAATCTTAAATTCAAGATGATTAAAAGCAATTTGGGTTTGAATATATTAATTAACATGTTTAAATGTGCTGAAGTGTCTATCAATCTATCTTTTGAAGGGGGCAAGTGCTCTATCCCTGAGTTATATGTAACCTAGTTTTTATGTAATGAACCAAAATTCTTGAAAGTAAATGATACATGTATAAAACAAGTTTTACTGGCAACTATTAAAAGAAAGCTCGTTTGTTTAAACACATTCATTCATTTATTCATTTAACATCTATTTTAGACATTATTCTGAAATACAGTGGTCTATAGAATAGATAAAATGCCTTGCCTTTTTGGTTCATCCATCCATTTTGGTAGAGGAAAAAGGCAGTAAATAAAATATATTACATAAGTAAATAAGAGTGATAAGACCTGGGGAGAAAAAAAAAGCTGGAAAGGGTGAAAATAAAATATAATTTTGTGTCTATGTGTGTGGGGAGAGGGTTGACATTTTCAGCTAGGTTAGCTAGAGTAAAACTCATTGAAATTAGTGCTGAAGAACGTGAGGGCACAGACTGTGGCTGTGTTGAGGGGTTAAGGGGAGGTAGGTATGTCATTCTAGACAGAGACAATAAGTACAAAAAAGTGTCCTTGCCATATTTGAAGAATAACAAGGATGCCAGCCCTGGTGGGAAGGATGCATAACCATAGAGAAGAATAGTGAGATGAGATCCAAGAGAAAACCCAGTCATGGGACGTTGAATTCCATTGAGACAAAAAGGCCAAACTGAGTTTTGAGCATGATAGAAATGGCATGATAGCATTTGTATTTTAACAGAGTCACTCTGGTCATTGCATTGAGAATAAAATGCTGGGGTTGGAGGAATGGCTCAGTTGGTAGGATGCTAGCCAATGAATGAAAGCATTAGGTACCAAATTTGAGTCCTGGTCTTGGACCAAAAGAAAAAAAAGGATAAAATGTAAGGAGTAAGGAAAAACAAAAGAGACTTTTTAGGAGGCTATTGTAAACCAGAAGAGGGATAGTAGTGGTTCCTATATAGTAGCAATACTGTTAGGGAAGTAGATAGAATTCAAATTGAGGGTGGTGGTGGTGGTGGTGGTGGTGGAGGTGGTGGTGGTGGTGGTGGTGGTGTGTGTGTGTGTGTGTGTTGGGACTGGGCTTGAACTCAGGGCTTCTTGCTCTCACTTAGCTTTTTTGCCCAAGGTTGGCACTCTGCCACCATAGCCATACCTCTCCACTTTCATGTTTTTGCTCGTTATTTGGAAGAGAGTCTCGGATTTTTCTGCCCAGGCTGGCTTCAAACCATGATTTTCAGATCTCAGCCTTCTCAGTAGCTAGGATTACAGGTGTGCCTCTCTAGTTCAGTGAGTTTTGACAAGTTTACATATAACTGCTACCACAGTCAAAATCTAGAACATTTCTATTATTCCTAACAGATTTCCTTATGTCTCTTTTTAGTCAGCTCCCATTCCCAACTGAAGGAGCCAATGAAGGATCCCACACATCCATCCCAGGGGACCACACAGAGGCAGGCAGGCACAGGAGAAAGATTATTATAAAGTTTATTAGAGGAGCCATATTTCCCCCAAGAGGAGGGCCTGCATCCCCATCCAGATAGCAGGAGGGTCTGAGGGATTGGAAGTGAGGTAGATGGGAGTTCAGGTGGGTCTGGGTGGAGAGAGGGAGAGGCCAGCTGTATGGCAGGAACTCCAGGAATGGGAGGGATCCCAGGAGGTCTGGGTGGAGCTGAGGACCAAAGGTGAGCTAAATATTAACACCAACCCCTAGCTCCAGGCTACCATTGATCTACTTTCATGTTTGTCCATTTGTTTTTCCCATAGGACTGGGCTTTGGTACTGGGCCTCACATCTGCTAGGCAAGTATTCTACCACTTGAGTCATGCTCCCAGTCCTTTGCTATTAGTTTTTGTTTTTTCCAGAGAAGATCTTGCACTTTTGCCTGGACCAGACTTGCACCATGAGCCTATCCACCTGGGATAGTGAGTAGCTGGGATTGCTACTTATTGCACCAACTGCCTACCTCACTGACCTGTTTTTTTTTTAAACTATAGATATAACTGTTCATTTGGAGAATCTCACACAAATGGACTTAATACAGTATATACTTTCTTTTGTGTGGCTTTATTTTAGCTCAGTTATGTTTTAAAGATTCATCCATCATGGTTGCACACAGGTAGTACTTACACTTCAGGTTAGATATCCCCAACTTGAAGTTCTGATAATTTCCTGTATTATACTGACCCTTGCGTTTTCTTTTAGTTTATCATCTAACTGGTAAGCTTGCTAATCAGTACTCACCTTTGCCAAATGTTGTCTTTGTTTTGTTTTGGTTTTTGTGCAGCCTTTTCATTAGTTCTTTGTATATCAGCATTTGCTCTCATGATCATGTTACCTTCATCAGTATAACATCAGTGAAGCATATGATTTGAAGTTGTATTTCATTATTGTATTTCTTAATATTAAATTTGGATGGTGGGCTGAGGGTTTAGTTCAGCGGAAGGGCACCCGCCTGGCGAGCGCAAGGCCCTGGGTTCGGTCCTCAGCTCTGGAAAAAAAAAATGCTATAAAGACTAAATTTGGATGGCCCTAAGACAACTTGACATATACCTTTGGAGGGAGGAAGTCAAATTCAAAATTAATGGTGAGAAAGCTGTATCTTTGCTGGGTTTCTTACTTTAATGAAATGATCTGCTTTGGGTGATAGTCTAGTAGGAATAATCAGGATTATGTAGAAGCTGAGCTCTTGCCTTGAGCAATTTAAGTCAAGTGGACATGGGTATGATAGGATTTTTTTTTCTATGAGATGACTGGAAATTTTTTCTGGAGAAGGTGTGTTATATTGTAAAAGCGAGTCTCTGGTCAGAAAAAGAAGGAAATGTGTTAGAGAGGAAGCAGACACTAAAGATTAACTTAATGGCCTGGACACTGTAGTCTTTTATAAGTATCCCACATGTTTATAAGGTCAGTATTTTTATTCCCATTTTATAGGTAAGAAAATGGTCAGTTTTTATTCGTTTACACATTAGTAAGTGGCAGAATCAAACCTATGCTATCTTCATTATACAGAACTTATTATTTATGCCTTTCCTCTTTTGTTTCCTTAGCCACATTGACTTATCTTTTAACATG